TGTGCTTTGGTAAGCATCTAAAAACACTTATACAGCAAATGGTACAGTTAAGCATGAGGAGCACTTGGAAGATTTGGACCCGGTGTGTCAGCTGGCATTAAGGACATKAATCCTCAGCTGTTGCCCTTTTTTCCCTTTACAAGTAAGTCCCGTCACATAGCCCCACATGAAGGAGGAGAATCGGGAGAAATTTCAATTTGATTYTGATTGCCATATTAAGTGATTCAGAATTATAGTTTCAGAAAGTCCCTAAATTATTTCTCCACATGTAATTTCTGTGTATAACTAATATTGTCTGTGTTCAGTAGAACTGACCATTTCAAAAAGACCTCAGTGCTATAAACTGAAAACATGTTTAGACCTTCCTTCTATAACACACTGACCCCAAACACAAAGAATAATGACTACGTAGGAAGGAGGTTGTAYATCTCTCTCCTTTGAAATCTGAGGCTGAATTATTTTCTACATTGTTTTTTGTTGTTGGTTTTAGTTCTTGATTTTTATACAAATAAGTTTTATTTTAGAGTACTTCGAGGATAACAAAAAAAGTTATGAGAAAAGGTCAGAGTTCCCATGTATTGCACACCAAGTTGGTTCTACTGCTAGCATCTTACATTAGCACAACATATTTATTATTACTAATGAACCAGTACTGATACATGTCTTTGGCCAAAATCCATGCCCTGTTCAGATTTTTACCTAGTGTCTCCTTTTTATTCCAGAATCGCAGCAGAATACAACAACAATAGTATGGCAGTATGTAAAAACGTGGATGTGTAACCGATGTGATTCTGCAATCTGTATACGGGGGGGAAAAATGGGAGTTCATAACCCACTTGAATCAAATGTATGAAATATGATATGTCAAGAGCTATGTAATGTTTTGAACAACTAATTAAAAAAAACAGAATCGCTTCTATAGCACTAGATTACATTTACCTACCAAGTTTCCTTATGCTCCTCTATGCGCTGCGAATTTCTCAGATTGTCCTTTGTTGATAACCTTGACAATTATAAATCTTGTTAGATGTTTTGTAGAGTACCCCCTCGGTTTGGATCTGACTAGTTTTTTTTTTCTCATAATCAGATTGGGTTTTGGCTTTGGGGTATCAAATGCTTCTTGAGCCACATTGTCAAGGTTAATATCCACAGTAATGTCATAACGATAGTATGTACCCTGATATGATCAGAATAGCACTTTTCCTTTGCAATTTCTCCTTTTAAGAAAAAGAAAATTCTACACCAAAATATTTTATGTAAAACACAAGAAAAAAAAAATATATATATATATAATATTTTAAATAAATATATACTATAAGTTTTTCCATATGAAAAATATAAAATATATTGAATTATGTATATACATACACATACCCACTCTTATTATATATATCCAGTAACAAAGGAATTTAGGGCTATAGTGCAATCAAGCCATTTGTCCCCTTAATATAAAAAATAAAGTGCTCCAATCTCACATTTTGAGTATTTTGAGTTGTTAAGATGGAAATCATTGCTCTTTGGTGACATTATCAATGTAAAACATATTTTATGTGAATGGATTAATCTATTTTTTATTGTATCAATTTCTTTTCTGAAGGTAAGGTGGATTAAAACATTTTTGCTCAGAAGATATAAAGCTCTTTTACTTGTCAACCCTGTTCTATATCTTAGGAGATTTCTGCATAGGAATCAAAGTATTATTATAGGCTGTGAAGTAATGCAAGAACATATCTGTGGCTCAGTGACTGCAGAAAATTTCAATCTATCCTTTGAAAATTCAAAGGAAAATAAAGTGGTAGACAAATTTCTGCTATGTATAAAAATAATGTTCCTATTATAAGCATAGCATTATTTTAACTATACTCTAATTACTTAAATATGAGATAGTATTCTTAGGTAAAACAACATATTCAGATTCTCATAAGTGTCCTGTATATAGGAAAAGACTATAAACTACTAACTTACGGTAATGGGTGAGTCTAGTGCAGATCAACAAGAGGAAGGGAACTAATCAAAAAGCTTTTCCTTAAGCCAGGTACGAAAAGCACCACATGATCTCACTCATACATGGAATATAAAGTTGGTGTCTTGTTGAAACTGAGAGTAGAGAGATGGCAGAGGCTGGGAAGAGAATCAGGGAGAGAGGGATATGTACTAAGCTGCAGGCAGATGTGGGTGAGAAGTTCTAGTGCCCTCCTGCTAACTAGATGTGTGCCCTACAACCCATAAAGCTAGAAGAATGGATTCTGAATGCGTTCACCATGAGGAACTGATGAAGTTGGAGGAGACAGATGTGTTTCACCTGATTGCCAAATGTATATACATGTATTGAAACAGCACATGGTATTCCATTGATAGGCACATAAAAATGTACCAGTTAAAAATAAATTTAATTTAGAATGTTACACCAAAATCTTCCCTGAACATATGTGAATTAAATAATTCATTATATTAGTCCACCACATAAGGAAAAGAGTGATGAACTATGGGTTAGTTGTAATTTAGGTGGATTATTACTAATATAAGCATCTTAATCGCTCTTGGTTGTAATAYACAGAAAGAGTAAGCTTCTCTGAGTTGGAGAAATCTTTTACACCAGACCAACAGAAAGTAGATGATGAATCTATATCTTTAAACACAACTATATTTAAAAATTAGAATATATAATATGTATAGTTATATATGAGTATATGCGTGTGTATGTGTATACATGTCTGTACACTTATACATGATTTGTAAATTTGCACTTTTAAATTCATGAAATAATTGCTCTAATTAATAACTTGTTTATTCTAATTAATTAAATAGCTCACTAATTTAAAAAAGTGAGGGTGGTACTACACAATCAATAGCTTAGAACTAATTATAACCCCCTCTCTGGCAGAATGAATTTGCCACTTAAAAAGTTATAAAAGATCCGTTTTATCTTTCTCCCCAATAGGGATAAAATATTTAGATGACAGATAAATAATTAAATGTTATGCCATTTAGAAAGTAAAATGGATAAGTGTCTACTTTGAAAGCTACACGCTATTAGAAAACTTGTCTTTTAAGAAAGCAAATCTTGCTGAAATTTTTATCTCACTTGATATTTTTCATTAAATTCTAACATGAAAATTAAATTACAGGAAATAGTTTTGAGTTATTTTTCTTTAGCATAGAGTTTATTATGATTAGAGAGTCAGAGTTTGTGCTCCCTAGAAGGGAAAACACTTTAAGATTTGAAGAGCTTTTCCTTATACGTAGGCTTTTTATTTTTAAACCCGGTCACCTCTTTGCTGACCAGCAATTTCTTACAACTTATGGCCAGGAGGGAGGAGCATGAGAAAAGGAGCTGGGTGAAAGTTGGTGACACTCCCTGCCAAAATTCCAAGTTGAAATTGAATCCTTCAGTGAAGTTTCCTGGGCATGGGAAGAAAAAAAAAAAAAAGAAAAAGAAAAAGATTTACAACTTCAACAGAAGTGTAATTCTACCAAGAAAAACTATGTCAATCTACTTTGCTGTCACCAAAGGATCTGAAGCTGGCTTTGTCAGACTTCTTTCTTCTTTATATATGGAGGTGAAGAAAAAAAAATAGCAAGAGGAGTTTAAAAAAATTGATGAAGCCCTGACCCTTTAGATTCCATTTATAGTCTGAGATGAATGCCATCCCCCTTGACTAGAGAACTGTCCAATCCAGCCGCATGTGTCAAGGTTCTGTGAGGCACTAAGTGAAATATATATGCATGCCCTTATACCGTTTAACGCTCTGGGTCCACCTTCAAGACTCTGGGCTGTGGATCAAGCGAACCACCACTCCTCTTCCAAGTGTCATTTTGACAGGTTCTTTTGGAGGAGCTCCTTCTTTTTTTTAACCCATCCTTTTCAACAAAATGGCACCAAAGAAGGACGTGAAGAAACCTGCTGCTGCTGCCGCCCCTGCCCCTGCCCCGGCACCTGCGCCGGCCCCAGCCAAACCCAAAGAAGAAAAAATCGATCTCTCTGCCATTAAGGTAACTAAAAGGGTGAATTGTTTGGTCACTGAAACATCTTTCAACAGTAGGGAACTCCAGGAACTTGCAAAGAGGTATATTTTTCATGGAGAGGAATGGTATTATTCAGTGAAATGGTAGAATTTGGAAGAAGAGAATCCTGCTTTAAAAAAAAAAAATAAACAGTAGCATAAAATTTTATCATATGTGGAAACTATGCCTGCTCTATTTTTTTTTTTTTTTTGCTCTCTGGCTTCCATTTTCCCCTCAATTATCAAAATACAATGAAAAGTATGTAAGTGTAAAGGTGTTGCATTTACGAATATTTAAACCAGCATTTTTAAATAAAACCTCTGTGAAAATTGGATTCTTTAGATTAAAACTACATCAAAAAGAAAGTTTTAGCCTCTGCTTGTTTCCAGAAGTTTAAAGACAGCTGATGACCCAGTTGTCCGGGATGTATTTACTTGACAGCTGCTTATTTCATCTGAGAAAGAAGATTTTTTGCAATTCAAGTCAATTCCCCTTTCAGCTTTGCTTAATAAAATTTGCTACAACACTAAATGAGATCTCAGTGCAGAAAATTATGCACTCAAGTGTTTCAGTGACTATAACTGTCATCTTGTTTATTTATATACAGTATTTAATTCAGAATTTGTGAGTTGCTTCTAAATGAAACTAACCAAAATTATTACAAAACACGTTGGTTGTACAGCTTTTAGTGTATGTCTTTTGAGTTTTTGCATACTGATCTCGAACTAAGGAGAATGTGATTGATTTTTGTGTCAACACTTTGCTGTGATCAAAGTTCTCAGCTGCCAAAAGATGACCTGCTATTGGAAAAATGATGGAATGGATRTGCCTGTTACTACTCCATGACGTGCACCTTCCCCCTTTTCATTGGGCTCTCATTGGTCCAACTGACACTTTGAAAATGATCATATAAGCAACTCAGCCTTATATGGAAAACTAATGAGTGAAAGTGCCTGTGAGGTAATCTTTTCATGGAAGCCAAAAGTTCTGTATGTAATAAACCTGAATTTTACTAACTTAATATTTATTACTTGCAGCTATAATGCCGGCCTACAAATAAACACTTAATTGCCTGTTTTAGTATAATAAGATTTTCAAAACATCCCTGAAATAAAGGTTGAATTAGATCACCCTTGGATACATGTGATAAATAGATATAATTTTAGAGCATTCTTATTAAATATAACATTTTATATTTCAAAGTAATAAAGTATTACAAATATTTAATCTGTAGTTTTTAGGTATATGAAGTCATATTTGGAAAAAGATGATCATAGATCTAATACTGATTAGGAACTATTCTTAATGAATATCCATTTAGGAGGAGAAATTCATGCCAGATCTTCTAATAAGTGTTTTTCTACCTTGAGGACTACATGCATACAGTTCATTAAAAGGAAACCAAATTTTTCATTTATAGCAATCTTAGTTAATATATAGATGCACTCTGACTTCATAATACAATGAATGTGATTATAGCCACTACAATAATTCTGATTGTTCGTAGTCTTTAACTCTCCACTCCATAGTAATATTAGAGTGTCAAAACTATTCTTCTTTATATTTATTGTGATTTATAAGACTATTATCTCTTTGCATCTGGGATTATAAACTTCTGGAAAGGAAAAAATGTGTCTTCTTAAGAAGAAAATGAAGTATTCCACTAATGAAAACAGGCATTAATTTTCCTCCTTGAGGAACTATGTCAAAATAAGTAAATTGCATAAAGACTGTGTTTGGCAGGTGAGAGATCTCCAAGAAAAGACAAAACATCACTTTTGCAATACAGAAATTAGGCCAATTATTTGTTCTAGTCAACAGAGCAGTGACTTTTCGGAGTCCTGAAAATTGTTTTGTCCTTCCATCTATATTTGAATTAATCCTAGCACAAGCTAGTACAACCAGGCAGAAGAAGGAGACACTCGGGAGAGTCCCGAGTGTGCATGGTGTGCTCCCTCATCATTATTTCATTGCAGAACAAGAGATATCATAGGTTCTGATAAGGGACACAAATTTTTAAAGAGCAGTTAAATGAATCTTGAAAAAGCAGGAAGACATGACCTTTCATCTTTCATTCTGGGGGCCTTTTCCTAATGCAAAGAAGAAAAACGGAAAGAGGTAATTTAAATGCCCAACAACTTACATTCATCAGTGTAAAATCAGTGCACATTTGGAGGTGTCCTGTAAGAGCCAAAGAATGAGTTGAGAATTTTAAAAAATTAAGTGTCATACCATTGGTTATACCATTTAGAAACTATATTAAACCATTTCATGTTATGATGCTTTTAATTAATTAATGATGTTCCTTGATATATTACCTTACATAAATTATAAACTTTTTTCAATCAGAAAAAATAAACTTTAAAGAGATTAAGAGCTGTTATATGCATTGATTAACTGTCTGAAATTTGATAAAGAAAAAAACTTAATTGCACTATAAAACTTTCTTCCATAAATCATGTAAGATTAGAAATCCAAGTGTCCTTTGGACTTTGAGTAATTCTGAAGTTTACCTATCTTTATGYAGTATATAGCAATAGTAAAATTTAATTCTTCAATATTATTCCCAGCTAAGACCAATTTCCCATCTTAAAATACACAACATTCATTGACCACATTTGACTCCTAAACTTTGAATAATCTTGGATATTATTAGCTAGCTTTATCAGTTTCTTAAAAGTGCTTTCCACTCTTATTTCCTGTTTTGTTGATTATTTGTTTGGAATGTGACCTACAACCTTTGAAATTCTCTGACGGAATGTTTACCTGACATTCTGTCCCCATGGATTTTTCTGTGAGTACCCTTTTCAAAAACAAATTTCTGCTGATATTTTAATATTAAAGTTACTGTCTTTAGTGTTTCTAATCATTCTTTGCCTTCAGAGAACTGAGACTTAAACCACAACACCCAGACAAAAAGAACACTGCCTGACAAAACCACCACCCTAGGAATTAAAACCTACCATCAGTTTGGTTATGGGTGCAAACACAGGAATGAAAATAGTTGCAACCAAGTGAAATAATGGAGGTAAATAAGTGACAAAATGACTACATCCTACATTTCAAAAGGTCATCAATATCTATCTGGATGTTTTGCATGATGCATGCATTGGCAGGTATGTCAGAATTGCTGCAAGGTGGGGACTTTGAGCCATGTGTCTCATTGTGCTGCTTAAATTTTCATTGTCATTGTACTCATTACTCAATCAGGTCATCCCTGACTAGAGACTGCAGGCGATGTAAAGAGGTAAGGTACAGAATGCATTGACAGAAGCTCTCCTGAATAACAAATCTCAAAGAAAATTGATCCCAGGCTTGGAAGACTTACACTCTAAAATTAATGGATAAGGTGGATATCTACTATTCCCAATACATATCCCTATATGTATTCAGTGGAGGCAGATAGTTATGTATATATGGTGACTTGTTTGGGCCCAGGTATGAAAATGTGTTGTGTTCATTCATAATGATTTTTTTCTCATTTCTAACAAGGCTAATATAAACCTAATCCCATTAGAAGAATTCCTGGGGATGTTGAACAAAGATACGCTCCATGAAAGACTAAAAAGCATACAGCTATTTGTATTAATAACAACAAATCCTCATTGTGAATTTATTCTATGCCATATTATTTAACCCTCACAACATTAAACTGGAATGTTTTTGTCCTCACTTTCCAAGTAAAGAAACTCAGAGTACACAATGCCTATGATCAAATGACTAGTTAATGATGAACCTAGGATTTAACTTAGCACATCAAAACCAGAGTTAACTGTGTTAACTGTGTTAACTGTATCCTAAGCTACCTCTAGTTTTTTCTAAAGAGTTAGTTGCTRTTTCAAGATGCTATAAAAGAGCCTGTTTTGTTGCTGTTGTTTTGTTTTGTTTTATGTTGCTCTTGAATGAAGTAAAGCTGTTCTTGTGTTGCCCTGCACAGTCCTGTGTAGCCAGAAGAGGGGGTGATGACAGACCCCACATCCCAGCAAGTTCAGTTTTTCTTTATCCTGCACCTGTTGCTGACAACTTGGGTGTTCTCTTTTATAGAACAAGGCTGAAATCTTAGGAACTTAGAAGTGCTCCTAGTCACTTTTTCTCAGCTTCCTATAAAATGTTGTAAACAGAAATGGATATTTTAAACATACTGTTAAATGTAATGAAACATTGAATTTTAAGATATTTTGTTTTTACTTAATTAAACACACCCACATATCAAACATGATCTTCAAGTTTTGCCATCAGGTTAATATTCTAATAAGAGTATGAAATCTCAATTTTGATTACAAATAAATAACATAATTTAAACCAGAAATCCCAATCTATATTGTTTGTGGTAATATGCAATGCCACATATATAACATAGATTGATCTTTAACTAGTTTGAGAAAAAGAACTAGGAAAAAAACACATACAATTTCTAATTAGGAAAAAAATGAGGGAAAACATTAAGTTGTTTCTAAGCTTGCTTTATATAATTTAAGTTTGTTTACTTTGGCCGTTCAATAGAAAAATGAATTTCTAATATAACTTTGATGTGCACGAATTTTAATATTCACCCATTTGCAGTATAATTATAACCTTAGGAGCAAATAAAAAATGATTTAAGTCTATCACTAGGTAACAGTATCACATTTCATCTTTCCTATATCTCGACTATAAATGAAGGAAACAGGCAGAACAGAGTAAGACAATATTAAAGGGCATTTTGTAGCTCTCCACAATAACATTTTTAATTATAGAAAACTGAATAATGTCTCTGCAGAGCAAAATGCAGTTTGCAAAGGAAGAGATATGTTCACCTACAAATAGTGAATAACAGTTTTCGTTTTAAGATAAAGTAATCTTTGCAAGACAAGGAGACCACAAAGTGACAGTGCCAAATTTAGCTCTTGACATTTCAGTGCTGCAAATGAACCCCCTGGCAAGTTGTCTTTAGTAGTCATTCCATAATTAYGCAGTATTAAGCACCATCTGACTCATGGAAATTGTGGAAAGGATTATATTTAGTCTGCTGATACTACACTTTCTTCTGTTTCTCTTTAGACCGAAATACTTTTTGTATGAAAATAGGATCTTCTACAGTTTGTTTCTACATCAACTCTTACAGGTTGTTTTTTACCCCTAAAACAGAATTTGGAGGGTCAAAAATTGCAGTATAAAAGTAACAATAGCTTCAGTTGCACTATTTAAATTGTGTAGATGATAAATCCTGGTCAGAGAAGAAAAGTTTGACCTAAAGGCAAAACCACATCCAATCAATTTACTTCGGTTGTAGGGAGTGAGTTGCTTTTTACCTTTCAAGGTGCCCAGTGGCATGTTGTATCCTGTTTACAAAAATCTAGCTGACTTGAACATAGTACCTGGAAATTATATTTAGCTTAACTTTATATGTTTTAAAAGAACATTATCTATTGAATTTGTAGGCACCCTTCTCTTTTCCATGGGAAAAAAAAGTGAATTGAGGTAGATTATACTGACAAAAGAATAGAAAATTTGTAATATTATAGATGCATAYTGATATTATGTATTGAAGAAAATCATGCAAATTGATATTATATATTTAAGAAAAATAACACAGAGAAGTGTAGATATATAACCAAAACATAATTTGTCTGTTATGAGAGCCAGAAAAATTCTCAGACTAGTTCTCTTTTCAACCCATCAAAAGACTTGAGGTCTTTAGAATATATTATTAGTGCTAATAATAATATATCGCTGTTGTCACAAAAGGAGCTTTCATTCTAGGCAAGGAGGAGAAAGCAGATACTTAACAATTTCTTAAAACACACAAAGAAAGATTTTTCCTGATGTTCACATTTTAATAATAAAAAGGTGAAGGAACAAAAACAGAATTTGAATTTTTAAGACATTGCATGCAAACAAAATATACAACAGGGGAAAAGTGCAACTTGCAAGTAATCTTTAATTTCTTACCAATTTTTAGCCATGAGAAAGATGAAGAGAAAACTAAAAGGTGGCTTGGATGCATTTTTAAGTCTTTATGAAGATTCACCCGTGTTTCTGTTCTTATAGGTCTGAATTGTGTTATTTTAACAAGTCAGCCTTTGCTCTTAGGTGACAGAATTCGGTTGACCGGTTTAAGTCTGCAGAGCACAGAATTATGCATTCTGTCTCAATTCAGACCAATTTATACAGTCTAACTACCTGACTCTCCTGTACTAGAGAACCTGGACTGGTAATATAATTGCATCACTCTTAATTTCCCCTCTTTCTACTATATTTCTAGTAACCAGCCTACATATATCCATTGTTGAAATTTTTTTTAAAAAAAGGAAAACATTTTTTCCTTTGATTTAAGTGTGTTATTCTGAAGCTTAAAATTCCAAGAGTTACAAAATATTACTTCCAGAGACCTTCTATGGTGGGTTCTAGAAATCCTGTAAAATTGGGTTAAGTTTTTTCTAAGGGGGTATATGTATCCAGGTCTTTGGTCCCTCTGCCAGGCATTAAATCAGAGAATGTGCAGCAATGTTCTCTTGACTGAAAACTGGCTCTCGTTAGTCAGCTTCTCAATCTTACCTTTCATCAGTCTCCATTATCCCCCAAGGGACAACGATGTTCTTTGAAGATTGTGGTCCCAGCTCCTTCCTAAGAAATTTGCTCCTAGTATGCAACATCATATACTACTAGTAAAGATGTAATTATCTTTAATTATAGCTCTTCTTCTTTTACTGTAATAAAATTTAACATATATCAATTCCATAGACTGTTTAACTGAATATTAATATTTTCCTTATAAAGCAATTTAATTCATATATATATGAGACTACAGTATCTTAAATCAGTTAACCAAATCTCATGATTACTAGTAGAAATATGATTTCCAAAGTAGAAAATAATCTGTAAATTTTTGAATAAAAATTATGTTTAGTGGCAGTGTCTCAGACTATTACTTACTTAAACCCAACCACAAATGTTAGTACATGAGTCATAAAAATGTGCAATGCAGCCTTKTACTAACTGTAAGAAAAATACATAGGCTAGGAATTTGAAGAGAGAGAGAGACTTTAAGAAAAATTGAGTGTTGGCGAATTAGAAGTCTGGCTCATAAAAATTTTTATAAAATCTAAGGGAAAGTATTGGATATATAAAAGGTACATATGTCAATAATTTGAGATAAACTAAGTGCCAGCAGTTCTAGGTGCTAGAGAGGCAGCACTGAAGGAAAACATTTCTAATTTCTTTACAATGTAAGCTTTTTAAAAGAACAGATAAACSTCTCTGTCCCCAAGGAACGGAATACTCCAGAGGAAGAACTTGAGTTTAAAGGAAGAGCTTACTAGACTTATGCTSTAATGACTTTAATTTAATGAAAATCTATTGAGCATTTAACAGAACAAACTATCCTGAGGAGTAGTGAAGGACAAAACCTAGGAACAAGGCAAGGGCAATATGGCAGGGGCAGAGGGGGCAGGACACACAGGTTCACACCAGGAGAAAATGGCTTTGGAGAGGAGGAGGTTTTATTAGGGCTTTGAAGAATGTCTAATTTCCAAAGAGAGAGAGAGAGAGAGAGAGAGAGAGAAAGAGAGAGAGAGAGAGAGAGAGAGAGAGAGAGAGAGAGAGAAGAAAGCAAGCCAGACAGAAAAGATTGAAAGCCAATCTCTAAAGCAAACAGTAATGGTATAGCAAATGGAGGCCCAAATCAGCTGACTTTGTGGCTTCATGCTGTGCCTTTGTTCAAAGGGCTAATTACATCATTATTACAACACCCAGGAAATGATGCAGGCCATGCTTTGTAGGTCATAAAAGTGTACCAGAGACTAAATTGCATTTCCTGATTATTTTATGAGCACAATATCTAGGTCTTCTAACTTTGAAAACACAGTTTATTCTCTAGCCTAAGCTATAGGGTAGGCTTCCCTATTGTCAAATGGTGTGCTCAAATGTACATTTTGATTCTTAGTAGGTTCAAAAAAACTGAAGCTCTTTTTTTCTGTGACAAAGATATGGGGAAAAACTAGGGAGAAATAATTTGATACCTGCTTATCACTTTGCAGCTTCTATTTTAATAATAGCAAATCTTTACATGATATCCAGTGGTTAGAGATGGTTTATTCATAACATAAGTATAATTTTTATATTGATTTTCTAATTTACCCAAAAGATTTTATATATACTAATCATATATATATATATATATATATAGACACATTTTTCTCCATGAAAAAAGAACAAAATAGGAAAATGATCATTATGACTAGTACGTCAACTTTTATGTTTAATTTTGTAGTATTTATACTTATTAGCACTACTAAAAATATATGCTACTTCTCACTAGTAATCTCAGAGCAATTCAAATTTATGACCCATTTACATGTTACAACTAAAAAAGGCACAAAGGTAACATACTCTACATATCAAAAGTCATGAAATTCTAAGTTACACAATTACTAAAGATTATAAATTTCAACCTTTGACCTCTTCCATTTTCCCTTTGTGATTCAAAGCATTTTGAATCCTTTTATTAACTTTTCATTTCTCAAAAGCCTTTCAAAATGTCAATTTGTTTATGAAGATATGTTTACCTAATAACTTAAAAATGATATTTTAGATCCTCATTTTGGGATTCAAATCTCAAGATCCTGAGATAACTTGTAAACTTTGGGCCAAAAGTGGTACATAATTAAATGTTGATTTCTTCTAGAATGGTTTGTGGGTTAGCTTCAGATTTGTATCTTTCTGGCAGGAGAGACTTATGAGCATCCTTGAAAATAGTTGCAAGAAGCAATACTTGAGTTACAGTTCATCTCCAGCATTCTTTATGCCCCTGAGCTGCTTTAAATAAGTAGGAAAAATGACCAACGTTTTCTCTGAACTTCAGTGGGCATCCATCCTAACACTGATCTTTTCAAGTACCACTTTTCCCAATACCCTTCCAGAAGGGAGTTTCCCACTGTTTTCAGATAGTCTGGCATAAAAACCCTTGCTGGCCAAGTCCTTAGACAGCTCTAAAACGTTCAAGTACAATTTTGCACTCCACAAGTTTTGCCTTGGGTTCTTTCTTTCTCAGTCTGGAGACCCGTCTATAAAGTTTCAAGGCAGAAACAGAATCAGCATGATCTAGTAAAAACTTATGCTAAATTTTAAACATAGAATAATAATATGCATAGAATAAGAAGAAGGATACAAAAATGGATTATCTGAAGTGCTTCCTGACTAGAAGCACTTCAGAAATTGAAAAAAAAAATATGACAAATCATCCATTTTAGAGACTACTGAAGTGGAAGGAAAATCCCCAAAACCTAAAGTCAGAAGACTAACGGAGAATGCTAGAAAATGGAGATGAAAAACTCTTCTTTGCTTAGATTAATTCTCTTGGAATACTACTTGCAAAAGAGTGGTGTTTAATTGAGGATTTTGAGAACGGACAGATTGCCACTTAAATGCATTCTCAGAAACACAGAGCATGTGGCCTTTTCATGTCCTCTGAACTTTACCATAAGGGACAGAGCTTCAGAGGATGTTCTTTCTGTAGCAGTTGTCATTTGAAACCCCAACCAGTCCCATCCAAGAAGTTCCATTAGCACCAAAGCTTGTTGACTAGAAGTTCACAAAGTCCAGAATTCACCAAGAGAAGGAGTCAGCCTGAGCCGTTAGAGAAGTTCCGAGCTTTTCTGCCACTAAGCAGAGAAGTTTCTTAAAGGAAGACATGGCCCACAAATGTCCAGGAGCTAAAGACCATAAAAGTACTGACAGGCTTCCATCTCACCAAGGCTGTCCACTCCTAGGTTCTGGTTTCCTAAAAATAGCCCTCAGGGTACAGTTCCCTCTTCCCTTTGCCCTAAGAAAGCTGAAGAACTCTCCAATGGGAGGGGCAACTTCTCTCTGAAACTCGATGCTAGCAGTGAGGTCAGTTTGCCCAGAAATAAAGGGAAGCCTCAGAGAAGGAGGCCCCACTCAGGGATTGGAGCGGCCCTCAACTTACTCTTCAGGCTTGACCCGTTCTGCAGCCCAGCAGCTCCATCATGGTGCGTCCTATAAGAGAACTACTTGTCGTTCTTAGGAGGATAGCAATAGTGATGAGAAGCTTATTGAGGAAAGAGGCAGACAGGAGGAAGGGAATTGAGGAGAGAAAAGAGCCAGAACAAATCTTGAGACTCTACTTTGGGGTACTTTGGGATACTTTGGGAGGTATGTTGAAGATAGAAGAGATTAATTAGAACTAATATGCAAACTGGAAAAATGCATCTTACTTCCCAAAGCAGTAGTACTTCATGCTTCACCAGCTTTTACTATATCACATAAGGTTTAGGATATTTAAATTTAGGGGGGATACTGAAACTATTGCAAGATAGTATGACCTAAGATACACCCCAGTTATACTGATAGCTAGAATCAAGTAAACTACTTCCAGTGCTTTCAGTATTGTATACTAATATAAAAATGTACTGGTGCAACTGCAGAAAGATTTAAGGTGGTGTTTTAAATGCAGCTAATCATTTTTTTAATACAATGCATATTTATTAATCAGGCATATCTTTATCATAGGGTTTTGCATTATTTTAGGAAGTATCTGATTGAACATTTATTAATTGTTTCCTTATTTAAGATACAGAGAAATTTTCCCTAATTATCTTTTGCAATAGATTTTTGTATTCCTAGATTTAAAAGTACCCTAAGGCAACCTTCTTATGCTATGACACCTACATGGCTTCCTAAGTCTCAGAGCAGAGAGCAATCCTTCTGTCAATGCATTTGAAAGAGTACTAGTTGTTCCTTTCTTTCTCTCTCTCACCACTGCAGTCCTTCAGCGCTGACCAGATTGCGGGTAAGTGATCTGAGAGTCTCTGTTGCAGATGTGGGCAGAGCACTGTCTGGTTTCTGGACTATCAGTTAACACCAAGGCATGCTACTTTGTGGTTGAACCTGTTGGTGTCCAAGCTATGCCTGAACTCGGAAAAGTAGGCTGACTTTTGAAGCTTACTTTGAAGATTATTCAGGGAATGAGCTGGATACACTTAAAAATCAGGACATTTTTGTTTGGTTAAAATATTCTTTGTGATTAATTTCTTTCTGACAGATCGAGTTCTCTAAGGAACAGCAGGATGGTAAGTTTAAAAGCTCTAGTTGTTAATATGTGCACACTCATAAAGATGGTATGTAAGAAAACCAGCTCCCTTGGGTTGAGCTAAGCTCTTCCTAATTATTCACACTGGTGTTGCCACTCTAAATATAAATTGCTCTCAGTCACTCTAAATATAAATTCATTCAACCTGAAGCCTTTGCTTATAATCAGTAATCAAAGATTTAAGCAAATAAAAGGTAAACCCCACAATAATGAGTCCTTATAGGCACTGATTTCTAAATAAGACTAACTTGATACAAGAAGTAATAGATGTGTATACTTACAAAAAGATGTAGATTTGGGAAGAATAATTTGCTAATCAAACCTCTAAAGAGAAATTTGATGAGTGTGAATTGTTCAATATGGAAAATAAAGYTAATTATAAAACTGCCCAATTACAAAATCTACACAATAGTGAGCTGTAGTACAAAAGTGAATTCAGAGACAAAAAAAAAAGGAAGGAGTAATTTATCATASAATTGTGGAAGGAATATTAGACACCTCCTGCTCCAGTTCTTCTTTAGAGGTACAGGACAGACACCCAGAGAAGGGATAAGTCTTGCTAAAGGACCCAAAGAATTAGTGATGGGATTAAAAATTTGGTTTGACTTCAAACTAATTAGAAATTTCTTTTATAAAAATGACCAATGGGGAGACCCCAAACTCTTGAGATACAAGAGAATCCAATAGTTTCTTTTGCACTTCAATTTCTTCCCTTTGGGTCTTTGAAATCAACAGATCCCCCAAGATCTAATTTTGTTCATTAGGAAATTTATGAAGAAATGTTTATAAAGTGAAATTGTCACCAAATTTGAATGAACTGGACAAAAAAAATTCATAGAAATGAGGGGGCAAAAGAGTTTAGTTACATAATGTTATACAGATTAGAATATTGGTCAATTTAAGTATGTGTATATTATATATATTATGACATAGAAGATATAGACATGGGTGATTAATAAGAATGTGTTCAATTTATTCTGTGCCTAAAGGATCTTACATTTTTCAGTTCTTTTCAGTCATGTTTTATGTCTATAAGTCAATTAAGAATAAAAAGGGTATTTGCTGTTATACAGACTCACTGGCTTCTACAGCATGGCTGGTGACCTCATGTAGATAGATTGGATTATAACTTAAGATCACTTAAAATGATATTGTGAAGAACTGTTTTATATATTGAAAATAGTTTTCTACAAATTGTTTACTATAATTTGTTTTATTTTAATTAACTTTTAACTAGTGATGCTGCTACCTCATCAGCTACCACATCCCAGTTCTCTCACATTCCTAACATGCAGTGTCACTAGGACTATCAAACAATGTAAGACCAAGAAGTGAAAGATTTCAATTTTTTTCAGGTCAAAAGGACTTCCTGTTAAGCACAAAACCTATGACTCCACAAGTTAAATAAGTTTTAGACACAGAAGTTGGGTAAACATTGGTGTAGTAGATTGGGGTTTTGTGTGTGTGTGTGTGTGTGTGTTTTGTGTGTGTGTGTGTGTATGTGTGTGTGTGTATGTGTGAAAAACAAATGTAAGCTGTTTAAACAGAAATCCTATACTCTCAGAAATGAATGAAGAATAGTTTATTTCCTTGTTTAATGATGAAAGATTTTTGTTCATGCTTCTCTAATTAAATTGAAAGAAAGAAATTAGGATTGAAGAAAAAAACTAGAAAATTATAGCATGCTAAAGGTCTAAGTCCTATGCTGTTCCATAAAGTAGCCACTAGCCCAGGTGGCTATTTACGCATTAATTAATGAAAAAGTAATACATTTTTAAATCCATTTTCTCAATTGCACTAGTCACATTTAAGTGCTCAAGAGCCACAGCTAGTA